TATTGTTTCATTAAGTTCAGTACAAATTACAACAATATTAAAACAAATCAAGGTAAAAAAAAAAAAAAAATCCTTGAGTTGATTTGAAAAGTAAAATGTTAATCACGTCAGTAAGAGTTTGTGATAAAGTGTGTTACCGTGCAGAGTGTCGATGCAGCAGCAGAGCGTCAGAGCAGCCAGGAGGAGCAGTGGTTTCTGCAGCTTCATCATCTTCGCGGAGGCTTTGATCAGTCAGCACCAGTGAGGATGTGAGAGTGAAGGTCTGGGTTTATAAAGCCGCGAAGGAGGAAGAGTGAGGAGAAAAAAAAAAAACTCGATTTGACAAAATTAAAAAAAATTGTGGCTTTGACTATTTTCAGGAGTTTTGCTGAATAAACCGGATTAAATTTCCTTATGTGGGCGTATTTCAAATATTACTGGAAATACAGTAGTACGAGGTCCCACCTTATTTTTCTCACTGTTTTGGCAATGAGATGTGTAATTTGCACAACTAGTGTTGATTTTAATTAAAGGTCCAGTGTGTAAGATTTAGGTGAAAGGGAACTATTGGAAATTTAATGTAGAATAATCCTCATGATGTTATCACGAGTTCGTTTCATCTAAATTGTATAAATTGCAGTTTTCTTTAACGCAGAAAAGACCCTTTATATTCAAATACTTCATATTTAACTCGAGGGGACCCTCTCTACGGAGGCCAACATGTTTTTTTACATTAGTCCATGACACTTCAACACTAGAGATCACTAAATTCTGCAAACTGAACCTTTAAGTCTGTAAAAGTACCCGAGGAAAAGAAGTCAACATCACTTTAATTGAGTTTACAAAAGTTTTCTTCGATACTAAAAACCATTAAATTCTACTGTTTTACAAACTGCACCGACTGGAGACAGTAAAGTTTGACCTGCACAGATCGTGGCTTCATTCTGACATAAATCAGGAACAGAAAATACCGAGAACTTGTTGAGGGTTAAAGGTCCAGTGTGTCAGATTTAGGTGAAAGGGAACTTTTGGCCGATATTTAATGTAGAATAATCCTCGTGATGTTTTCACAAGTTCGTCTCATCTAAATTGTATGAATTGTAGATTTCTCTAACGCAGATGCAGCACAGGTGTTAGATTTGTGCTCACTCAGCCCGAGGTTCTGAGGAGTGATAAAGAATGAATTGGTAAGGTGAGTAACGACCGACAGTTTTATTCCAGGAATACAGGAAAATACCACGTTTACAGCGAGTAGAAAAATAACAAAGAAAATAAAATACAGCTCTTTTTCTTTAATAAAAATAAAATAAAAAAATAAAAATATCTGGAAAAGAAATAATTGTCTCTGGATCCAGTTCCGTTTGTTCACTTCTTGTTGTACTGGTACTGTTCTTTGTGTTGTTGGTCTTGTCTTTCTAATGTTCACAGGAATAAGTGTGTGTGTTCATGTGCTTATCTGAGTTTTTCAACACGTTCAAGATGATTCCACTTTGCAAACCCTGCAGCAGCAGCAGCCAGTCTACGAGCAGGGATCGTCAATCTTCTCTCCACCTTTGAGTCTGTAAAAGTACCAGAGGAAAAGAAGTCAACATCACGTTTATTAAGTTTACAAAAGTTTTCTTTTGAGTTCTACTGTTTTACAAACTGCACCGACTGCAGACAGTAAAGTTTGACCAGCACAGATCTTCATCCAATTGAATCAGGAACAGAAAATACCAAGAAAGTTATTTCTCTCTTCTGTCCACATCCTCTCTGGTAAATAATTAACTTTTGTTCCCGTCAATGAAAACAATAGTAAGGTATAATTGTCTTTTGAATTTTACATGCATGAGTCTGCGTTTTTAAATCTGAGTCCCGTACGAAGTATTTTATATTTTCACAGTTGTATCCCGATCGTGGACAACGACGAGACTGTTTGACAAACAATATGTCGTTGTCCATCACACGTGACGTCTACTGCTCTTCTGTCCGTCCTGGGAGAGAGATCCCTCACATGTCTCTCTCTTAGGTTTCTACGTTGTTTTTTTTATCTGTTAAAAAGGTTTTTGGTAGTTTTTCTTTATTCTTGTTGAGGGTTAAAGGCAGAGGATGTCACAGCTTGTTAAAGCCCTATGACACAAATTGTGATTTGTGAATACAAATCAAATTTGATTGATTGATTGACTGACTGATCGATTGATTGACAGTTGAGGGCAACAAGGCAAAGAGGGGCAGACTCAAGGATATAAAATGAAAATCAGTCAGACTGACACAAGAGAAAAGATTCAGATTGTTTCTTGGTGCCAGAGGAAACACGTGCCGGCCCAGTTTGACACCAGAACATCATTCTGTAGTGTGGACTCAGGATGAAACGTTTCTTATCACCAGAAACTAAACCAAACGGATGTGAGAAACCCAAACCGACTAAATCCTGTGAAGCTTAGACACAAAACTATGAGCCTGTAAATATACACAAGGAAAGAAAAGGATCATCTATATTTTATTAAACTTTCCTTCCACCTTAAATTTATAAAAGAAACAAACTGTTTTTTCACTTCTCCTCAATTTTCACGATAAACAAAACTAAGGATTCGAGACAATGTGCTGAAGCAGCAGAGAAAAAGAAAAGTTGTAGACACTTCCTCATGACTGCTCCTCCCAGAAATGACCAACTTCTAATATTAGTGCGTTCATTCGTCTCTGCCGGTATCTTCAAGTGAAACGCAATAAAGGAATAATTTGGAAAGTTTGAAAAATGTTTCCCTTTTTCTTTTACGGGTCATAAGACAATAATCAGTTTACACTCACATCTATAAAACACAAATAGCAGAGAGGTTCTTACTTTAGACATTACTGCATCTAGATTATCTATCACTTCCCAGTGTTTCCACACATTTGAATGAATGACGATGTGTATGCGAAAGGATCCATTTTGGATTTTCAGCAAACTTTCATCTGATATTCGAGCATCGGCTGTTGACCACAGCTTGAAGTGAAGGATGGCGTCTGGATGTCTTCATTATAACAATCTACCCGCTAGCAACATGAGCTCATGTTGGCGCCATTTAGTACCGTGTTTTAGTAACTTAATTGCGTCGTTTAAGACGAGATGAAAAGCAGTTTTCTCCCTTCATCCTCTTGCTGCATGGTAACACCATCAAACTGGAGGTATTCTTACTTTTATTAAATCTTTACTTTTCACATCGTTGCTCTCTCGTGTTAAAACATTCCATGTTGATGTGTCGGGAAACTCTCAACCACACGCTGCAGCGCTCACATATCCTATTTTACCGTAAGTGTCTGATAAATTAGTTTAAAGTGAGAACGAGGAGGATTGTTGATTCACACCAAAACAGAGAGCTGCTCGATTTTAATGCTACGCAGATGAGAGGTGTAAAGATTGAGGTGATAGAGCGCGGTTTCAACCACAAGAGCGCTGAGCATCTGCAGATTTTGTCTCGTTGCAAAGAAAAACATAAGTTACTCAGTCTGATTGTTTAATGGTGCCCACTCATTTAATGATCGAGAGGCATTTGGATGCAGAAACATTTGAATTCTTTTTTCCAATTCTCTGTCCAGTCTTTAAAACTTCTTTAAAACTTTTTATCTGGTTTAACTGCAGCTTGAATTATTTCTTACCTCGGATACTGATTCACCAACAGACTCCCGGTGTCACTCTTCTTTTCCACCACATTCTGTCGCTCCGGTGATGAAGGCCTCCTCAACGCACGGACGAAACAATTAGATAAAGAGCTCGGCAGTGAAATGTGTATGAACACTACACGCATACTAATGTTTCCATGTTGTAAATGATTCTGGTTTAAAAACATCGGACAAATGAAAACTGAAATGATTTCTGTTTCGTCACTGAGAGATTGTTTTCATAAAAACTAGCTACTGGGTTAAAATACTGACACACAGCCTGGCGTTCGGGCAGCTAACATTGTTTTATGCTAGCCTAAATTAATTTTTACAATTTACAACAAGTGAATGTGATGAACCTCAGTCACATCTTAAACACAGAAGAGGAAACTCACCCATTTACTCACTTCTGCACGAACCCATCAGGATTAGCCAGTTAGCATTAAGGCCTCGGGTGAACAAGTGAAAACACCTGGAAATAAAGATGGCCGACACCGCAACTCCTGATTGGTCGAGAGCGATGCTGCGGCTCCACCCCACCGTCACTGCAAAGGAGTCAAAACTGCAAAATGGCGGCTCCTGCGTCCAGAATGTTTTGGCTTTGATTTTGTACAACAGGAGGAAGCGGAGACTTCCCACAATTCATTCATCAGTCGAGTTTATTTGTTTAGCAAATATCAATTTGTCTGATAGACGTGAACCAGGAGCAACGTCCTCTGATCTCAGTCGTCAAGAGCAAAACGACCAAAGAAAACGAATCACAGGTAACAGGGGAAAATAAATGATTCAAATAATATTATATACTATAAATAAAACTATACATTAAACTGTATATAATGTTAAGATTAACGACTCGGCTCCGAAGCAAAGGTTGATAGAAAAGTTAATAACTGAGATATTGTTTTATAAATGATCTAAAGAAAAAATAACTGCTCATCAAACTGCACCAAGGTTTCCTTCCAATTATGTTGTGACAGCGCACTCTACTGTTGAAATGACAGAATTACAAATATCTCAGAGATAATGTGGGCTGTGTGGTATATATATATATATAAATATATATATATATATATGTTTTAATTAGAAAGGTCTGTAGGTATCTCTTTTTTAAATGAAATAAACTCGTGCAGGATAATTAATCTTGCTGCACAACACCTGCATCGTTCCTGCGAGACTGAAACTATTCCTTTTTTAAATGTTCATGTATTCATATATTAATATCACGACTGCTTTTAAAAAAAACATTGTGTGCAATACGTGCATAATAATGTGTGTAACTGTATTAAATCCTTGAAATTCTCCAAAATGTTTCACGTGATGAACTCAAAAGTAGTAAAGTAATTTTAAACATATAGAATCTTATCATGTTGGCTCCGTGATTCGAGACATTAGAGTGACATCGACACCGATGATTGAAAACACGACACAGAAACAAACTGAGATTAGATTTTTATTGTTTAGAAATAATTTCTGCAAAAAAATAAAAGATGGCAGTAACTACGAGGTGATTGGAAGAACAACTCCAACTCTCTTATAGATTTAGGTTATACTAGCTTTGTTACAATAATTTGTTAAATGTACTATTAGAACAAAAGAAAAAGCTCCAGGAGATGAGTTGTGTGCATAGCTTATAACCAACCTCCAGACAACCAAGATCCAATGAAATGAAAAGAATAAAAAATATATAAATAAATGCTTTAAAAGAAAAAAAAACTAAAGGCTGTGGCGACATAAACCCAAAGTCAGACTATACGATCAGTGGTTCATCCCCAAACGTGAGAATAACTAACAACGTGATTCATGAACAAACGTGTCGTGTGAAGAAATCAACCAACGCAGTGACGAAAATGTGAAACGAGAAAAAGAAAAACTGCTGCTTCACCGGGAAAGAAAGTCCACTGATACAGAACGAGGAATTAAAGGTCGTTGATAAAAACGTGCCGCCAAAGGGTCGTCTTAGTTTTTCTGAGATTGAAAGTTGACGTCAATCAGCAGTGTTTTCTCATGGATGTTGAATCCGTTAATTGTTAATTATTAGCTGGTTCCAAGTTCCATTTGCAGTTTTGAAGAAGCATCGTGTTATTAAACTCAATTCAATTCAAATGTATGAGTCATTTCTTGCTTTTCTCCACTTTCACAAAAAAGAAAAATGTCGGAAGACTCAAAATAAAATCCTCCTGCTTCCATCTCGTTCAAAAAAACTTTTTAAAAAAAAACTAACAAAATCTGCTTCTAAACCAAACAAAGAAAAAATCTACTGCCTCAACCAGCCGGCTGGTTTGTGACATTACGATTCCTCTGCCTGACGTTCGTTCATCTGACTTCACGTAAACATCCCTGTAAACACAGAGGGCCCTGAACTCATGCAACAGCAGGCGATGCTCCACCAGGGGGCAACAAAGACTTTTACAGTCACTGCAGAAACTCCCTCGTCTCTGAACACAGAACAGTTTGTACCACGGAACGAGTGTTTTCCAGCTGAGCGCACATTTGGTTTGAACTTCTGACGGCTGAGCAGTGAGGAGGAATATTTGACACTATTTTTCCCAGTGAACCCGGGAAACGGAGCGACAGTTCAGCAGCAGCAGCAGCAGCTCAGTAATCAAGCACAGTCTTAACAACAACAAAACAAAAAGAGAAACCGAACAAACAAAGGTTTCTCTCCTCACCATCACAGCACTCGGTTATCACACTCGTCATGGTGCTTCAGGGTCATTTAAGAGAAACTCCACAGGCACAAAGTGGCTCCACGACACGCCCCCGATCAACAGGGAACACAGAACATGTAAAGTGAGTCAGTCGATCAGTGGTTTTTATAAACTCCTGACGTTCAGCGTTGGCTGAATTATTTCCTCCCAGGTTGGTGATGATGGGAATCGCCAGGTTTAGAAGTTTTGAGGGAAACCCGCGAAATCCAAACTGGGATGAAATTACAGACGGTTTGAAATAACACAACTGTGTTAACATTGATTGTGTTTGTGAGCATCACACACACACGAGACTGTCTTTAAAGATGGACGACATGACGGCTCCCAAAAGTGAAGCCAAAGTGTCTCGATCGCCTCCTGGTGGTCTGGCTAAAGTCATGAACTCCACCTCCTCCGTGTCAACGCGCTCGTTAAGTAACTTTTCTCTCAACGATAGTTCCTGTCATTTTAGGAAGTTGTTATCACACTGATGTTTGTGAAAGCGATAGTGAGAGGAAGTGGAGACGTGTCGTCCATCTTTATTTTACAGTCTACGAGTAAAGACCGTTAGGAAACATGATAATCAACTGCGGCTACAAGTTCCTGTAACTCACAGAAAAAAAGTGGAGTTCACAGAAGAATGACTGTGACTCCGCAGACGTGTAAACTCTGTAAACTCTGGAGGAATAAATCAAGCTTTAAACAAATTGGCCAGTTTGTTACCACGAGTGAGCATGAACATAAAAATCATCCATTCATCCCCTGATCATCAGGTAGCTTCAGTTTCAGCCTCACTTACTGTTTTAATAGCAGTGGGGGATTTTTCTTTCCGTCTGTAACTGTATTTTAATATAGTTTCCAGAACTCACACACACACACACACACAGTTTTCCACAGGTCGTCTCTGAGCTTCAGTCCAAAAAGATTAATTTTAGCCGAACCAGTCACCAGAGTTCTGCTAACTACACAGAATAAAACAAAGTGCCAAAGATCGAAATAATAAAATAAGAATAAATAAGTGAGGAATGAAATGTGACGTTACTGAAATGCATCATTTCACATTTAGGCCTGAATGTGTTTTATTGGAAGAAACACAGAAAAAAAAATCGCTTTTAGTTCACACTTTACCTCACGTGACTATAAACCGATATTAGCTTCATGCTAACACTTACAACCTCAAGTAGCTGCGTCCAAAATCCGTATCTGACACTGATTCCGAGCAGGTTTTCAGTCTGCGGAGATTTAAAGCTGCTGAAGTCACAAATTTAAAAATACAAAGAGGAAGAAAGGAAACGGAGGAGACGCTCAAAACAATAAGAGACGGGGAAAAAAAATCTTAATTTAGATCTTTTACAAAATATTTAGCTTTCAGGACTTTGAATGTTTTCAGTCAGACACACACACACACACACACTTATTTAACTTCTCCTTGTTGCTTTCAGTTTTAGTCTCGACTTTGAATTTCTGTTGACCAACGATGACCGGGGGGGACACGTGGATGATTTTCGGCATCTGTAACATGAAACTGTAGCCCTCAACATCACAAACACCTCTGAACGGAGTGGAGGCAAGAACTGCCGCACATTTCACATAAAGTGCAAACTGACGAGGTCCGTCCCTTCAAGGCGTCCAGACCAGCTGAAGCCCTGGGACAACCAGAGAAGAAGAAGGAGAAGAAGACAGGACGACCCCTCAGATCATCACGCCGCCTCTTCCTGCCTCTCGGTTTAATGGCTCTCAATGACCACAGGCTCGTACCCGCCTGCAGACACCCTGCAACGACCCGAACACACAGTCAGTGGGTTTGTTTCCTGTATGACTCAAGATGTAAATCGCACACATTTAACACAACTCTTCTTATACATGACAATTTACGAACATTTCATCCTGCAGCATCAAACCTATTCGTTCTATTTTGCCCCTTGAGGCTTTTGCATTTAAGATTTAAAAGGTTTTCCTTACTAACACTGAAATATCTGACAAGCTGTTGCTCTTCTGTTCCTGCAGAACCGAGCTGTTGTTGTGTTGAATAATCGTGAGAATGAAAGATATTTGTTATCAGAATATATTGGAAAATACAGATGTAAAAAGGGGATTCAGATTATTTTGCATCTCTGGTTTGACAAAGAATCTCCATAAATGAGGAAGACGTAGGCTTCAAGGTTTCATGTCAGCTGACAAGTCGGCAGTGTTTGATACTAGAAAAGTACATTACTGTGCAAAAACCTTTAGACATCCCACATGTTTAGATTCTTATCCTTCAAGCAAACAAACCGAACCATGTTTCAGTTCGCTTCTTGAGGTCGAAGGCACGTTACACACCTGTTAATCTGGTTCAGACTAAAATGAAAACAAGGTAGGAGTGACAGAGCCTTTACTTCTCTGAACAACTGTGGCAGGTTCAATCCACCTCCAGGTTTTCTTTTTCTAATCGTTACCTTTTACCAGTTATTTCTGCCTCGTGAGTCGAAATGTTTCTGTTAGTAAATCTCAATCTGTATACAGTTAAAATGAAAGTGAGAAAAGAAGAAGAGAGAGCGACGCGCAGACAGAGACACCGACAGGAGGAAGTGGCAGAGACACAGAAAGTGGCGAGGTGCCAAGCGTCTCACCTGTTTCCGAGCATGATGCCGCTGAGCGCAGTGGTTCCATCTCTGTTCACAAACAGACGCAGGTTACTGTCTGAAAGCCACAAACACAGAAACCAGGTCAGCGGACGCTGACGGAAACCAGACGGCATCAACACACCGACAATAAAAAGGTGACGAGACCCAGAGCTGAGAAACTGGAGCCGAGCTCGGTCCAAACATGGTGCACAGTTCACAGCGGCCCTCTGCACATTTTTTTAAATGTCAGTAATATGCTGGCAGATTAACTGTAAACCTTCACGTGAACAGACTCACTATAAACAAACCAGACCGTGTTGAGCAGTGATATCATCTCTGCTGGTATTTATCTAAATCAAGACTACGTTTCCCATAAAGCCACTTGAAACGACACCGTCCTCTCGATGAATCCCTGTCATACGTTTCTTTTTTTTAACAACAAGACAAAGTTTTCGCCTTAAAGGGGCCGAAGTTATCGCTGAGTGGTTTAAAAGCTTCTTAGAAACACAAAAGGACGATGGCAGATCACTGAACTATTCCTCTGCTGAAACATTCCCACTGTACCTTCAGTGTTGTTGACATCTGCAAAGTTTTGGCTCTGGACAATTTTCTCCACGATGTCGTCCGCGTCCATACGAGTGTCATTGACCCAACACGGGTGACTCTCCACTGAGTCCTGCTTCCTCCTGAAATACAAAAGAGAAGAAGAGAAGAAGAAGAAGAAGAAGAAGAAGAAGAAACAAGGTGGTTAGAACCGATTTGTCTTTTTATTTTATCTAAATAAACGTGAGTATAAATCCCCACAATCCCATGCACCTGGAGAGCCTGTTCAGGGGTAAGACAGGCCGCGGGGGTCTGGGGGGTCTCTCTGGACGTCCGGCGTCCTTGTCGCCCTCTGCGGGTGTGTCGGCCGTGAAGCCCAGGCACCCGGAGGTGCTGCTCCCTGTCGAGGTGTTCCTGCGATGGGTGAGGTCAGACAGGCTGGAGGAGCAGGAGTGCTCCGTGCTGTAGCCTGAGGGGACACACGGCGATATCACAAGAAAGTTCAGAATTTGGATCCGTACAAGTTCTCGCAAGTGAAAAGAGACTTTTCTGAAGAAAACACATCACGACAAAGTTTGGACGAAAGGATCGTTGGTGGAGGTCGTACCTGAGATTTTGCTCTGCTGGCTGGCGTAGCTGGAGTTACGGGAGTGACCAGACTGGAAGATTTCAGCAGAACCAGACTGATGATTCACCTCGGATTCATCAAGAAGACCTGGAGGCAGAGAAAGGAGGAGAACACAGATGTTACCACTTCATATGTGTTTATTTCATCCTGTGCAGATGTTTCCCCACTTCTTCTTCTACAAGGTCAGCCGGACAATAAATGGTGGTTCACAAGTTAGTGGATTTTGACTCCGATCAGTAAACGTAACTTCTCCTCACATGGAAATGTTGTTTAGAACAAACTCCTGAACCAGACTCTGTGAACAACCTCGACCTTTTCCAGTTGTTTTCCAAGTTGGAACGAAAACAGGTTTTGTTCTGCTTCGCCTCGTTTTCCATCTGAGATTTTTCAGAACGTCTCCCAGAACATTTTGGCTGAAGATGTGAAACACATCTGGCTTTCGGTCTTTCAAGATCCGAGTCCAGATCACGACAGATTTATCACATTTTAAATCTTACATAATGGTTCTAAAAACAGGTGAACTGATTTAAAACACACTTGAAGTGATGTTTATGAGTTCGGGGAACAACATCTGATCTGTTCTGCGTCTAAACTTCATCTGAAATCACTTGGAATTCAATTTGGATCCATCAAACTTTTATTGATTTCATTGAATCAGATTTTTGTGGAATCCTGAACCGCAGCAAATCATATTCGAATCCTTTCGAATCACTCATCAAACCTATTCTGGCCGAGCTCACACTCGCAGATTAACGTTCAAATGCTCGGTTCGTGTTTGTACAGAAACTTCAATCTTTTAGACACGAAAGACACAACACAGGCTTCGTCTTATTGTGGCTATGACTGATCTTTTGGCTCCGCGAGCATCATTTGTTTTATCTTTCATTTCTAGATAAAGAAACAGTTGAAGTCCTCCAAAGATCCAGCAAGCTTCAAAACACATTAGGGCCAATCAGTACAATCCCAACGTAAGCTGTGAGTCTACCTGAGCTGATGATGGAGGGCCGGGGCTTGGCGGACCGTCCCAGTGAAACCCCTCCAGTGGGGCCAGGCTCAGCTGTTCCCTCCCCCTTACAGTCCAGCTGCAGGGTGTGTTCTCGTCCTGAGATGGAGATGGACTTTGCTGTGCTGGGAGGCCTGCAGAAAAAAAAAACAAAAAAACATACTTATCAGCGTGGAACAGATTAAATGAAGCCCAAAGCTGCAGCTCTGCTTCCCTGAGCACACACAGATAAGATTCATAAACATTCAACATGTTAAACAATCTAGTTATTGGGTTGTGAATATATAAAGGACACATGGCGCTTGATGTATAAATGTTACGGACGCTTAAGACATATGTACCTTTTTAAAAACGGGGAAAACAAAGAAAGAATCATCAAAGTTATAAGTGCATGCTGCTTATCAGACACAACAGCCTTTTAAATCAACTGTTACATATATAATGTGCATTAAATCTGTAGAAACGTTTTTAACTTAAATAATGCAAAACAACTGAGAGACAACGTGATGAAGAAAGATGAAAACAGAGGACGGAAAATTACACAAGTGTTTA